AATTCGATATAAAAACGAGGGTTCCAGAAAGCCAAAGGCAATTCGATACGAATCTCTGAGATCTCACGTGGCTTCGAAATCACTGCGGTTCCGCCCACGAATCCGTGATTTATCGTGAACAACCTCCACTAACTTTCCAGAACCTTTCCGTATTCTGATAAATTTGCCTTGTTTCTCATCGTTTTCCTTCTTCTTCTTCTTATACAAAATCTCAATTTTCTCAAAAACATTAAACACTCTCACCTTGAGTGTTTTTTAACGAAAAGTTGAATGAGTTTAAAAACTCTGCTTTCAAACTGGTATTACCGTCGAAGGAAATTTCACGAAGAGAGGGTTTTCACCGAGGAATACTCGAATCCTTGCATGGTGCAGTTACACACGTAGAAGAAGAAAGTTTCTGTTGGCTTATTTTCGCGGATTCACGACCATAGGGGCATCTTTTCGCGAGTTGGAAAAGTTCACCCTCCCCTTCTCCCCTGGGGGCGGACATGTTAAATTGCGATACAACTTGTAATTTTTTGGTTCTTTATTTTCGTTATCAATCACCAGACACGCCTCTTGAATTCTATCATGTGCAAATATGCAAAAAATTTGATTGATATATTTGATCTGGGTTGAATTTCAAATATTGTTATCTGAGTGTCAATGAAAATTTTTGCTTTCTTATTGTAAAACTCGAAATTATTTTTCAGAGATTCAAATTGATATGACCACTTTATTTTTCACATAATATTTACTTAGTACATTTTTGATTTCTAATTATTTTGCAATATTGATTAAAAAGTGCACATTTATAAAGAAATATATGGGAAATAGTTTTTGATGGATATAAACTTTTCAAAAAACAGATATATTAATTAGAATGGAAAGTTGGAATATTTAATAAGAGACTAAATATATCTAATATACTATATATTAAATATATATTAAATATTTTGGTAAATAATCAAAAAACCAAGAAGAATGCAAAAGCAGATAATGATTACTTTGCTATCCTTATAATATAGTATAATATTGCTATCCTTATAATAAAGTACATTATTATAGTGACATACAGTATGACTACTTTTAAAAGAAGCAAAATAATATGAATCTATTAGTATTCATGAATGAATTCAATTTAATACTAGAACTATCAAGTTTACGAAGTCAACCGGTTTCAAATCTTTTGTTTTTTCAATTATATAAAATGCATAAATATTTTTGACAAAATTAACATATTAACATTAATTCTTATTCAGAGAGAATATATAATCACATATATCCAATTATTTTCATAATAGTTCTTTAACTTTTGTCAATATATAATCAATATATAATACAGATATTTAAATATATACTTATAATTGATAAATCTAATGTTAATATGTATAATAGAAGAATATTTACTTACATTACTTTATCTAATTAAGTCAATCCAAATTTCTTTCAGAAAAATATATATTCTTCACAAGAAATATTCAACAAACACTAAAAGATATCAAACAAATTTAAAGCAACGTTCCTCTTCATAAAATCAACTAAACATGGCGGTTTCTCGAGATGAGCCGAGCTACGCCGAATTTACACGAAGTCAGTCGCGCCAACGATTCCACAAGGAACATGAACCTTTATACACAATTACACAATACATCGTTTCATCGCTTCGCGCGAATTTTACCTCGATTCTACCGCCATGATATACACTGTAGCTGCGACGTATCCTTTCTACAAATTATCCTCTTCTCAAAATCAATAATGATTTTTCTATTGGTCATTGGATCACCTCGAAGGGATTGGATTGAAACTGTGCGTGAATCACGATTAAAAAATCGTGGAGAAGGTGGAGAAAATTGTGACGTTCCTAGACACGTCTCTCGACACGACGCGAGACACCGAAAGGACCGAAATACTGAAGAAGGAAGAACAACGATCGATCGACTATCGCTCTTCGCTGCCTACTTCACACTGGATATCGATTCTCGTTCATACTGCGTCCATCTTCTTTTTGTTCTGGTGTTTCTTGAGTGCTTGTCAATCATTTTGTTTCATAAATGTGATTTTCATTGACACATTTTATTTAACAGTGTATTTTTAATTAACAGTGTATAATGTCATCAATACAGTCACGTGAGTAATTTATCTTTTACCAATTGTTTCCATATATTAATATAATGAGATAGAAATATATAAATCATTACTAAACTGTGGATGATTATGCAAATTTATATTTTTATCAAAACAATAAAGAATTAATCAAATAACAAGTTTTTTTATTTTATATATTTAAATCTCTTTTAAATGCATAAACATTCATAGTATATTTATTATAATAAGAAATGGAATTTTGATAATTCTTGTTTTATGTACAATAAGGATTTGTTTATTGTTTTTATTACAATTTTATTATAACTTTATTATATTTATTACATTTGCGAAGTCATTTTAATTAATAAAATAAGATGTAAATCGATTTATTAGCCTAAACTTTATGATTACTGATATTTACTAAGATTTATGAAAAAATTATACATTAAATAGGTTATATTATTCTTGTCGTTATGACAGATTTTTAATACTTTTTTTTTTCAAGTTTTGATTCATTCTCTAAGAAATATTATATTCACTTTACGAAAAATATTCCTTTTATGCAACATGAGGATGAAAGGAAATTGCTATTATGAAATAAGGTCATGACTCAAAAAAGGATCGGAAAACACTGCTTTAGAAAACGTAACTCTTCGAATCACATTTTCTATAGCACTTTATACCGTATTCATACGATATAACTTCCGTACGACGTGATTTAACTTTTATATTATACATAGGAAAGAATTATAGTAAAATTTTAAGGCATCCAATTTCGATTATATTCTCTGATCTTTACGAAGATATTCTATCGTATGGCCATTCTCTTGGCTCTGGTTTCTAATAAATTTGCAAGTTTATATTTGTCGAAAGTGACACGGTCGATAGATTTCGTAACACGAAATTTCCTAGAAGTTTGACGATGAAGTCGTTCGATTTTTCATCTTCTTTTTCTTTCTTTCTCTTTATATGACGCAAATTGATTTTTAATCCAAGGCGATTTTCGTCCACGTTTCATCGTAATTTTTGCATTGAAACGCGATTCGAAGAGTATTGAAGGAAACATCAAAGCAATTTAAACGACAGGTAATAACGCTATCTAATCGATCGATTGACGTCATCGATTAATCTCGAACGCGTCGAGACATGTGAATTTCTGATTGATGAATGCACGTATAGCTACAGATTTTTATTTCGCAAAATGATAGATCTTTCTGCTATAATCCGGAACCGGGAATGATTTCGCTGACTGATCGAGGGCATCGTTCCTGAACCATGGGTTATCGACCGAGCGGAACGATGTTATCGATTAAACTAGGGGAAAATTCGGACAGAACGCGTGCAATTTAAAAAATTTCGACAAATTGATATAACTAACAGAGTAATGGATGGATGAAGAAATGAAACGTCAATTTTCAACACAACACTTAAAAAACGCGATATATTTGTGCAAAAAAAAAAGAAAAAAATAAGAAGAAAAAAATAAATATTCACAGATCTATTCGATACTTGATATACATCTAACGCAATTATATTTGTTATATCTATATGTTACAAAAATAATCTATGACATATAAAACTTACAATATCGTAGAGACGATGCTCTGGGAGTAACGGAGGCATACTCAATGTACAATTTACGCGAATAGTACTCGCGCTCTGTCATCAAACGCCTCTTTCATTTGCATAGTGAATCACACTTGTCGCAAAACGTACCTTTAAGAAATCTTGCGCAACGGACGCATTAACATCCGCTTGATATCTCACAATCTTATCACGATTCAATACTTTCGTTATAAACTAATGCAGGAGCGGAATCGGAGAGACGAAAGCCACCGGTGAAAGCGTTTCTATATCAAATGTCAAAGATCACTTTCCCTCGTCTATAATCAAGCGCGAATAAGGAACGTTTCTCGTATTATTGGTACATAATATATTTTGACGAAATGAGAATAGAAAATTTAAAAATAAAAATTAAAAAGAATAATGAAAATTGATATGTAAAAAAAAATTGTAAAATAAATATAATATACAACAAAAAAAGATATTCGTCGCGGTATTTACAGATTGAATCAAAATTTGTTTAAATTCTTTTAAAAAAATCTTGATTACGTCCTAATAATTTTCGTCCAAATATATTTCTCGATAATCGAACTCTCTGAACGAATATCGTCGTCACAAACAATCCACGATTCCGCTCCTGACTTGAGACAATGAGTATTACACGCGTGTGTACGTATAACGTACAGAGTTCTTATGGCAAATTTGCGAATCGAAATTCGCAAATAACTGGCTGTTTCCACGAAGTATTACATATATATATAGTTTTACATGGAACTTTAAATGTACGAAGCTCGCGTGAATCAAAGTGAAACGAGAAACTCGTCAGTCGAAAAACAATGTGAAACGATCAAAATAATCTAAGATAAGGAAAGAACATGATGAGACAATCGAATCAACAAAGTAGCTGCAGTTCTACGTGCACTGATAAATGCCATCGTTTTTTTAATCTGCAATTACAGAAAACTGACTCGTTTGGACGAACCGGATTTCCACTTCTCGATACCGAGACACTCATTCTTCTTGGAATCTCTACTTAATATAATTACTCTGATTAAGTATACGCGTGTACAAGTAATGACGCGCATGCGTCTCAACGCGTGGCTCAGCGAAGCCTACGACTTTGTACTACCTGTCTACCCTGTAAAATCGCTCGCTCGCTCGCCAATTCTCAATACAAGTAAAAATTAAGATGTATATGAAAATTTCTATTCGTGAAATCGATGAAAACTATGACTATTACTAAAAGATACATGCAACATCATCGCCTGTAATATTACCAACCAAAAATAAAATATATTTACCAGCCAGATAGGTTGGGTTAACGCGACACTCGGGAAGGGATGAAATACTTTAGAATCAGTTCTCGGTGATCTCTACTCGGAACGAAGAATGTGTCAGACTCCTCAAAGCCTGGTCCCTTTGTTGACCTCGTTGGTCACGTCGAGCGAGACGTTCTTAAGGGCGTTCAGCTTCTCTATGTAACCGACGTCGATACGAAGCTTCCCGCTATCATCGACGACCCCCTGGAGAGTAGCAGTCTTTTCCGCGCCATTCGCGATCGAGGTCACCGAGGACGAGGAAGTCGCATTCGCCCCGTTCTGTTCGTTCTGCAACCGCGTGCTGCTCGCGTATAATCTCCGCCTGCCTGGGAAGAATCTTGAGATCTTCACCGCGAGAGGGTGGAGTAGATGCTCCTCGTACATGTCTCCTTTCGGGTCGGCTGTCACCAAGCTCACGATAACACCGACGATCACAGTCGACATGCTTCCTATGAACGCGTAATACATATACGTGATGCTGTACAAGAACTCGATCGGACCTATATCTGCCATTTCCTCGGTTCCGTTCGTAAGCAACGGTCCATTTTCGTACGAATTACTGGCCGTGATGTTGGCCGTGAGATAGGGCATGCTGGCTGGCTTCGTGATCCAAGGGGAGAACGTGTCGTTCTGACAGTTCTCGGTCGACAGGGGTAACGTTTCCACGTTGTTGCTGACCGTCAGGTGGCCAAATGTGATCCATAAAGTGGTTACGTGGCTGAAGATCATCCCGGCCGCGGCACCCTTCCAGTTGGCGCAAGGAACAAGCATGGCAAGTAGAAAAACGCCGAGCAGGGGGCCGGAGGTGGCAGACGTCATCAGCATGGACGACTCGATCACTCCTGATAGCATCGCGACGAGGAAGCTCACTCCTATTATCAGTATACCGTAGATAACGCTGATCAGCTTGATCAGGTGCAGCTGTTGCTTATCTTTCAAGTTTTTCATCGAAGGTATTTGACCGAAGAAGTCCTCGAACGTGACCGTGGCGAGTGAGTTCAGATTAGACACCGCCAAGGTGAGGGCGCTGTTGAACAAGGTGGCCATTACTAGGCCCAACAAGCCTGGAAAGTTGAGGAATTTATCTTCCACGTAGAATGGGACGATCTCGTCGAATTTGGAGATGTATCCAAGCGACAGGGGGTCGCAGTCCGCGTAGTTGGCGAAGATCACCATTCCAACCACCCAGGAGAGGGAGTACAGCACGAAGATTATAGGGATGTTGGCCAACATAGTTCTGCAAAATGGATATTATATTTTTTCCCATTGAAATATGCAACACACGCGGATCAAACGATAGATTTTACTTGGAATCTGTTTCTACAACTCTCGATCGATCTCTCTATTCTCACTTCTCCATCTTAACAACATATGTCTCTTATGTGTGCTCTTAGATACACGTACGATCGACTCGATAGCGTTGACCTTAGCCAGAGGAGGGAGTATCTAAAAGTTTGGCCTGCTGCCATTTGACCCTACCGTGGGTGCCAGCCGAAAGACTCATTGATTATGTGGTAACGGGGAGAGTGCGGAGAGAATTTCGCGAATCGGAAGGTATCTCGGCCAAAGATGGACCGCATGAAAATCTGTTCAGCCGCTAGAGAGACGGTCCATGAATTCGCGAAACTTTTTTAGGACACTTTGAAACTCTTCGATACATTTTTCCATTTCAATCGGGTGGCGAGAGAGATAGAAAGATAAATCGTAAATTTTTAAAACAATTTCGAACGATCATCTGTCTCTGAATTTTTCCGGAATAAGCAGCAACGTCAACGTGCAATTTTTTTTCTTCTCTCTCTCTCTCTCTCTCTTTCTTTATTCTCCACGGAAACTTTATCAACGGCCCTCGAAAATGTGTAATAAAACGACAAATCGTCGGTAGTTTTGCTCGCTCGCGCGCGGTTATATACCCTAATAAAAATCCATACGATGAAACATTTTTATCGCGAGAGTGGAGAACGCAACCGCGATTATATTCTAATAAAAGTCCATTTCGGGCCGAGGTTTTTATCGCGGCCGTACCGACACTTCGTTTGTTCGAATTTATGCTCTAATAAAACGGTTCTGTTCTCATCGATGTTACGTTATCCCGAAAGGGGATAAATTGCCTCTGGAATCGGTCGTTAATTTGTTTGTGTATTTTTTCTTTTTTTTTTTTTTTTCTTATCTAGGAACGATGACACGCGAGGGACCAGAGGTTTTCACGTGTCCTACTCGTTTAAACGAGATCTTTTCGCGCTCGAAATTCGCGATCTCTGGTTGTACAAGATTTAATTGGAGATTTCATTCGTAAAATGCGAAGTATACAGAATTATGGATAAAAGTAATATATAGGATTTTTCCCTCTAATTTTTTGTCGAAAATGTAATTCTAAAATTCAAGTGTAAAATATAAAATAAACTATGTCACGATATTATTTATATTGCAAAACAGATTGAAATATTTCGTGGTGAAATTCTAAAAATTTATATATTTTATATAAACAAATTTAGAATTTGCAAATTACTATTGTATATAATGCTTGAATCAAATATTATTTCACGTAAAATATTATTTCCTATTTACATTTGGATTCGAAAATAGGATATAGGATATAGGAAAATAGAGATAGAAATTTATGCACGTTTGAAATACTATTTCGAAACTCTATCTTCTTTATAAAATAGTATATTAATTTCTCTAAAAATTAGCCCTTTATTAAATAACTCTAGAATTACACTTTGACAAAAAGTTAGAGAAAAAAATTCCCCAGAACAGAGATTTACGAAGGAAACGTCACTAGCAGAGTATACGTATATTTTTTTGTTGTGGTACTTTATGAATATTAAACTCGTAAAATTCAATATTTTTTCTGCGGAGAATTATCCATATTTTATTTGTCTAAATCCTTTAAAAATGGCTGAGTTATTATTTTTCCGCGAGAAAGTTTTGTATCTCCCGCGATTTCTAACTAATAACAGTATTTCGAAAGCTGAATAAATAAAGTGTTGGATATTTCTCGTCAATTCGTGCGTCAATTCAATCTTTTCGCGTTTTATGAATGATTTTTCCTTTTTTTTTTTCTTTACCAAATCTTGATGGAATCGATTTGGATATATATCTGTATGGTTTCTCCGTTTCGAATCATTCAAAGATTTAACTTTTATCCTCGTGGAAGGACGTAAAAGAAGTTCGCAAATTACTTTCAGTCTGCTTTTCATCGTAGGTGTTCATCGCCCATGAAAAACGGAGTTATATTGCGTCACGTGAGTTATGAAAAGGGAGAGAGAGATGTGGTTTTTTTTAAACGACGAACGTCTCGATATACTGTTTAACATTTTTCCAACCGTTCCAATGGTTCTGAAATGAAATGAAAAACACGTTTTGCGTATTTAAATGTCGTGTCGTTAATTGTAAGTCACTAAGTCATTAAAATTTATTTAACTTGTTTCGAGGAGAAATACGAGGAGAAATCGATAATCGAATGGAACGTTATTTTGTTTTTGTTTCTTTTTTTTTTTTGTCTTAATTTCGATAAACAAGAATAAATAAACCGATCAATCACGAGTAAAAGAAGATTAGATAAGAATTTATATAATCAAGTGAAATGGTTATCATTGAAATACACGCTACTCATAGTCAGCTTATAATAATAATATTAATAATAATAATATCCAGTAAGATAAACGTCAAACAGGAATAATTTCTAGCAAGCGTGATGATGATTCATAACGAGCACGTGATTGACCTTTTAATTGAAATGCCAGTCGTCAATTGAACCACACCATAAGCTAAACTGCACGATTCCATCAATGTTAATTATTCGGTTTTTATTAAACACTTAGCGTATACGTATTTTTCAAGAAATGGATTATTTAATGGATTTAATTAATTCAACTTACGAGAATTAATACCTCAATTGAAAGATTGAGAATCATGAAAATTTTATCCACTATTACTATTCCAATTTAAAATCAATTAAAATATAGAGAATATAAAAATACACAAGGAAAATTATTTCCTAAGCTGTAACTTCATCTAAAACTTCATATAATTAATTTCTCGAAATGTTTTGATCTGTATCGTAATGTGACCCCGCCAATTATCTCAATTCGAGGAAAAGAAATAAAAAGAGCAAGCAAAAAAGCGGAAAGAAAAAGTAGACGCGATCAATCGGACAGAGTTTCTTTGAGATCATTCCCGGAAGGATTTCTCTCCTTTCGTCTTTCTAGCTCGGGGGAAAACAGTCGATTTCGTGTACACGTCGACTAAGTGATCCGCAAACTTTCAACTCACACCCCTCTTACTTTATTTCTGGGATACAAGACATATTCTCCCTTCCCGCTTCGTGGAGAGACGTGGTGATAGTTTCGATTGCTTGGCGGAGAGCCGCTCTAAGGGGCCGGCTATGGCGGCAGCAGTGAGAAATTATTCCAATTGATTCTCATCTCGATCATTTTTCCTTTTTTTTTATGATATCACAGGCAATCTAGGTCAACGAAGTTCAGCAAAAAGTTTTTTCGGTTTTTCTAGAAAAATGTTCGTTTAAATAAAAAAGTTACAAATGATCATTTCAGAAAACTATTAAAAATACTAACATTATTTTTTTATGTATTGCAATAGAATTGTAAAGAAAAGGCAATCTTTTAGTGTATAAATTCGATGTATAGAAGAGGAGAGAAAAATGATTACTCATCTGTGAGAAGATCGAGAATCATTATTCTCGAGAGAGTTTTAAAAGTCTATGCAAACTCTTTGTTATTGAATTTTTAATACAGAAATCGCTTATTGAAAAATCACTTCTACATTTAAATATATCGAATCTCGTAACACGTGACGTTATCTGCACAATACTTATTTACATATCAGTCGCGTAAAATGCTAATATCGTGCATGCCTCCAAGTCGTAGCGTACACAAGCGATTTCTGTATTCCGCAAACTTCCTGGATATACCGTCGTATAATTCCTCCCCCCCTCCCTATTTTTTCTCCTTTTTCTCTCGGCCGAAAATTACCGAAACACCAGGCATAGATTTCGAGGAATCAATGGTTCCAGAAATTTCGAAATTTCACCGCGAGCCGTGTAATTTCACCGAGCTTGTTATTCCTCGCTAAATTATTAGCAAAATGCGTGGTAACAACACGGTTAACAATAAAAGTACGTCGAAATACGTCAAAATGACGGGTTTCCAGTTTTTCAACGTTCTCGCAATTACGAGAAATATATTGGGTGGTTTACTCGCGAAATTAATTTGATTTTTATCGAGATGCGAAACACGATCGTATGTATATATATATATATATATATATATATATATATATATATATATATATACTACCGTACTACTAC